GTGAATGGAGACTTAGAGTAGTTAAAATCCCTTTGCAGAGTTTTGCAATTAAAGTTATTGCTTTTTTAGTTGTTGTTTTTTAGGGCTGAGACAAAGTTTATTGATATATTATTTTTAAATATACAGACAGGCAAATCTATTTCTTAAAAATAACCGGTTGTCAAAACCAAAGCTCAGTATTCTGTTGTTGTGAGGAAATCATGAGCATCCGTGCTCAAAAAGATCTTAATCCAGACAAAACAACCTAAATAATCTGTTCTTGGTGGGAGGGATGGTGTGACGTGTTGTAATCCTGTCTTTTCCTCATTTGACAGATAAAGACTGGGAGGACATCAAAAAGATGCCAGAACACTCTACGCTGATGAAAGACTTCAGAAGGAACACGTGAGTCTGCAGAGCACCGCTGTCCTGGTTTTTTTTTTTTTTTAAGATCAGAAAGTCAGAAAGCAAAGTTCTGTCTGCTGTTAAAAATACATGTTTGAGTGTTGTTCATAGCTTTAAATGAGCCATGTCATAGCTCTGCATCGCACTGAAGGCATGATCACGATGTACTTTTCTTTATCATTTGTGTCACAGATACACAAACTGCAGCCTTATAAAGTACATGGAAAAACATAAAGTCAAACCCGACAGCAAAGCATTCCACTTGGTAAGTTCAAATGCATCTGTGATGGAGCAAAAGTCATTTGCATTACATATAAACATTTGAGCAAAGGAATGATTGTGAGGGCCTGTGTCCACTGTCCCACAACCTCAATTTAAGAGTGCTTCTCACTGTCGCTTACTTTTGCCAGGTTACCAAAATTTGTCTCACAGCACTTCCACTTCCCTTGGTTGTGACTGCTAAGTGTGTTTTAAATGACCTATGCTTAACATTTACTTTTATTCAAGGACATTTTACAGAGAGAATGTATGTCCATGTCCTGGCATAAGAAGCAACTTTAGAACTTAAATTGTACCCTTGAACAGTCTGAAGTCCCAACCCTATTGGATTTTAATTGATAGGAGACGAAGATGTGACATTGACGAGCATTGCGGTGTAACAATAGTTGAGCTATTTTCAATTGAGAGTGCTGTCAGCGCTGTGACATAAAAACAGCTGATGCTCGGGTTGTTTTTTTTTTTTAGCTTGGCCATGCCCTGCACATTGGTTTTTGTATAGAAAAAAAAAAAGATGCTGCCAGCTCTAAATCTGCTGCTAGTGGACACAGGCTCTAAAGCAATGACACTTGAGTTTTGAAGAGAAATAACATTAGTGAATTGATTTAAAGCTGCAGAAACTGCTGACCATGGACCCCATCCGTAGAATCACGTCTGAGCAGGCTATGCAGGACCCTTACTTTTTGGAGGAGCCCCTGCCCACCTCTGAGTGAGTCACATCATGAACACACACTCATACGGCCTGTTTCGACTTTATCCATGTTTTTCTATTCCTAAGCCTTACGTGACATCAAGTCAATGAGGAACAGGTCATAGGAATAAATGTGTGAAGATGACATCCCTCTTTTGTTATGTCTTTGTCCAGTGTGTTTGCAGGCTGCCAGATTCCCTACCCAAAGAGGGAGTTCCTAACAGAAGAGGAGCCAGAGGACAAGGCAGACAAAGTAAGATCCATGTGCACTGTCTATTCTCACTGCAGTTGTTCACTACTCTTAGTCATTAATATACGGCATATTAAAAGGTAAAGAGAAACATCATCAGTAAAGGAGTAGACTTACTGTAAAACTTCTTTGAATTGTCTGTTTTTTTATTAACTTCAGTCTATGAAATGACCCCTATGACCTCTATTTGGGAGAGGCGTCAATACGAGACTTTTCCTTATTTTCAACCTAAGTAAAGCACAACAAAGAGGGGAACGATTATGAAATTGTATATTTACTCCTGAAAGAAAATGTAATGTACAAAATTAGGATATCAATGAACAGATCAAATAAATCATAAATTTGATCTTGCTTTGTAGCAGCATGCACATCAGCTTCATGGCCTGTACACACATGAGCATTTGAGTCTTTCTTAGGCATTCTGTTGTGGTTCATCTTTATGTTTTGTGATGAGTTTTTCTCCTTATTGTTGATCCACAAACTATTTTCACACTACATTCATAGGGTCCTCTCATTGACCTGCCTTTTATATGTCAAAACGTATGGCAACACCAGGCTAGTGGGTCTTGATATTGGGGTTGGGCTTCTATTTGAAGTTTTACGGTACACTAGAATCTACACATTTACATGAAGCTTTTTTTAATGTTTGTTTTTCAATGTCAGAAAAACCAGCAACAGCAACAGGGAAACAACCACACGAATGGGGCGGGGCACACTGGTAACCCTGACAACAGCCATGCTCAGGGTCCGCCTCTGAAGAAAGTGCGAGTCGTCCCGCCCACCACTACCTCAGGTGGCCTCATTATGACCTCAGACTACCAGGTAGTTCTCTTTCTCTTTTCTTTGCATCTTAATATTTGTTTGATTGACAGTTGGATGAATTCTATGTCTTATGTTTGAACTCCGTATTAATTTTAAAGAAAACTCAGTGTAAGAAATATCCTGTTGTTTGCTTCCCCCCCCCCTGCAGCGCTCCAATCCACATGCTGCCTACCAGAACCCTGGACCAAGCACATCACTGCCCCAAAACAGCATGGGATACTCCTCTACCTCCCAACAGCCGCCCCAGTACTCCCACCAGACCCACCGCTACTGAGAACCCCCCGACCACACACACATACACTTATACACATGCACAAATATACACACATACACAGCCCTCATCATGCCCACCTGAACGAATGTACTGGGGGATGTGGGGATGTCCAAGGCTACAAACCCCACCCAACTCCATCCCACAGAGGGCACCTTCTCTACAGCAGTCTTTTAGGCCTGAGTGACTACACTTCTTCAAGATAACACACCATTACCCCAGTATTAGAAAACACTGCTTCAGAGCAAAATCTGACAGGTGAAAAACAAGAAGAATGATAAGAATAAGAAGAATGGATACTAGGATCAAGCGTGTGTCTGATGCTCAAACCAGCCAAGAGAAGATGGCTTGGTTTTGAGGGTGAAACGTGTCAATCTCTTGTGTGATCTCCTCTCTTCTTTTTCTTCACCTGTCTCCACACCTCCACCCTAAACCCCTAACCGTCAAAGCTTGGATAAGACTGAAAGCTGCTATGTGACTGCCAGCGTTGACAGATTCTGTCCAACTGTCCTCCTGTCTGTCTGTCTGTCTGTTTTGTCTGTTTGTGTGTGTGTGCGGCCCTATGAGGGCCTCAGCTGAGGACTGAACTAAGCTGCTGTGAAGCATGCTGGGCGGATGTGGAGCCCCCGCAGCTGTGGCCTTGAGGGTTTTAATAAAGGACAAAAAAAAAAAGATGACAAAAAAGATTTTAGTAGTTTATAATTTAATCCGTTTTCATGGTTTTTTTTGTTTTCATGGCAAGACAGGCAAAGCAGCCCGCGCTGGCTGAGAGCTCAGCCGCTGTGAGCAAGCCTTACAACATGACGACAAAACCAACCAATCGCATGGAGGATGGCAAATGGAACATGCGTTGTACTGTATTGTATTGAAATATTTTACATGAAGCAAGTATCCTGACAATAAAAGTGAAAACATTGATATTGTTGATATATTTGCAACTGCTCCAACAGCTTTTTACCTTTCAATCCCATTTTCTTTCTGTTTATTCTCTCACCATTTCTACTTCACAAAGTTAAGCTGCTTACAATTTCTTAGGAATTCAGACAAACTCCCAACTTGCATGTGGAAAATTAATCTTTGCTAATTTAACAACCCCAAGGGTAACATACATTACACTACAAGGCCATTTTTTCCTCATGATTTAAGACCCCTTTTTATTGTCGTTTGAAAGGATGTTGCTTTTTTTTGGGGTGGGGAGTAAGGTAATAGATTTTAGTTTAACAGTCACTGAGATGAATACACTGCAAAAACGGACCAGGTATGGATTATTCTGACAATTACTCATTTTCTCTATAAGACATCAGATAATCGTGAGAAAACACCATAACTTTTGACCATAGTACAAGTTGAAGTCACGTTAAAAATCCTACCATGAGAGCTCAATGTTGGGAAACTATGTTGCTAAGAAATGCCATTGATCAGATTAAAAACGAATGGTTTTCAGCACAAATCCATATTTCTCTGCAAGTCATTCAATGTCTGCCAAGTCTTCTTTTGAAACCTGTCCACTTTATTTATAGTCACAAAGCCTACATATGTGATTTATTATTCATGGCTTAATCAATTATATACTATATGTTAAGCCAACAGCTGTATAATAAATGCAGGAGTCGACGTCCACTCCTTTTCAGTGGAATAAAACATGCATTTTTTTTTTTAGACCTTACTCCTGGAATAAACCCAGTCTACAGAATTGCATGACACTGTTTTCCCTTCCCCTGCTTTGATGGCTGTCATCTCTCTGACTGTTTTTGTCTACAAACACACCTGGGAGAAGAAAGCTCTGATCTAAGTATAGCAGGGCCTCTCATTGAACCTCTTCCTGCAGGATGCTGGTCCAGCTATTTCAGTCTGTTATACAATACTATCTCTGCTCACTCTCAGCATCACTGCCTCAAGCATGGTGCCAGTCAGATCCCTCAAAAAAAATCTCCAAAGCACGCAACTTATTGCTACTACTCTTTGTTTAGAGGTCTATGGGTCTCTAAATCCCCACAGACCCCCAAGTTGAATTAAAAAGCCCCATAAATGTTAGTAAGTATACGTGAAAAAAGCAAAAAAAACAAAAAACCTGTTAAGCTCTTCAGCAACGCCCAACCGCAGCCCTGCCTCCTCTATTAGTAACACCGCTCTCGAGGTGGGGTGTTCCCCCTGTCACTTATTTAATCGCGCTCTGCCATTGGTGCATGTTAACGCCAGTCAACTGCTGGAGCGCACGCCTGGAGATTTGATTGGCTGCTGCGGCCGATAGGCGTATCCGCGTCCTCAAAGGATTTTTTTTTTTTTTCCCCCGGAGTGGCCAGACGGGCAGGGGGACACAGGATGGACGAGCTAATAGGAGTACCTAACGGGACATGCGGACGCGCTGATTTCTTCTAATATTTCAATTACTGGTGAGGGCCTTGTGATACTTTCTGCAACACATTATGACACGTTTAATCAAAGAGGAGTGATTTGTGCGGTCAAATCTGTGAAATGTAGTGTAGTTTTTCATAACTCGACCACTGGACATGAGCTAGCTAACCAAGTGGTCAGTTAGAGCAGACCCCCAGTTGAGGATAATACACGGAGAGCCGAAATCTCTCTTAAAAACTGAATCATTTCTTCCTAATACCTTGTATACTTTGACCAGGTAATTGATGTCGGCAGTTCACCGGCGCGTCAGTCAGTTAGTTAGGCTCCCAGAATGAACGCTTGTTTGTATTTATGATATATATATTTATATATATATATATATATCATCATTTCATGGGAACCGAGGCTGATGAACAGATGTGGGTCAGTCCATCAGTGACGGGAAGCGACGGTGCGGAACACTGATTGATCGTGTTTGCCAATAGTTCACGCCTGTTTCTATGAGAATCAGTCTATGGGCAGAGAGAGATGAAGGGATTGTGTGGCAAAATGTGGATTTCAGTAGTGCATCCTTATCCCTATAACTGAAGCATTACATCTGAGTAGATTAGAATATAATTACTTTATTGATCCCAAACTGGGAAATTGTGGCGTTACAGCAGCAGGTTATCCAAACACACAATATGAGTAAAAATGTTAGCAAATCTAAACATAATATAATATTGAATACAAAGTAAATAAGTACTAAAAAAATATCAAAAATAAGAATGAATGTGATTATATACAACCAGGATTTAACTAAGCATTACTAGTCTTAAATAGGAAGATTACATATGGAAGATTGAATGTAAATGTGCAAAAAACAGAGTAGTAAATGGTTGTAAATGAAATATGAAAGGTTAAAAGTAAATGTGCAAAAAACAGAGTTGTAAATGGTTGTAAATGAAATATGAAAGGTTAAAAGTAAATGTGCAAAAAACAGAGTAGTAAATGGTTGTAAATGAAATATGAAAGGTTAAAAGTAAATGTGCAAAAAACAGAGTTGTAAATGGTTGTAAATGAAATATGAAAGGTTAAAAGTAAATGTGCAAAAAACAGAGTTGTAAATGGTTGTAAATGAAATATGAAAGGTTAAAAGTAAATGTGCAAAAAACAGAGTTGTAAATGGTTGTAAATGAAATATGAAAGATTACATGTAAATGTGCAAAAAACAGAGTAGTAAATGGACAGTATTGACACAAGTTAAAGTGCATGAGTGTAGACATGTTGTAAGCAGAAACTATACAATATAACGGCGAGTAGACAGACAAATGAAGTGAACATGAAGTGAGTGCTGACATTTAAATTAATTAAATGTAGCCAACCTGCAATCAAATTAAAGCGTTTAATCTGGATGTATAAATGAAGCCAATCTCGTTAAAGCTACTGATAAAGTTGTAATAATATCTATGTTAATAGTTATTATTACAAGTCAATTGATTTATGCTATTGTCAGTATTTATTCCAGAGCATAATTCAAGATGTAGGCTATACACTGCTTGAGTGATCTACTCCAATTATGTAACTTAATTAACACCAAGCAAGTGTTAAAGATTGAACTGTAAGTGAGAAATGCTTTAGGTTAATAAAGCTATAGTAGCCGCAAATTATTTTAAATGTTCATTTCATTTCAGAAGGATAAAAGTCGTAGTACTGCACTATTCAGCAGAAAGCCCTTTAAGTTGTTTAGTCCATAGAATAACTCCAATTATGTAACTTAATTAACACCAAGCAAGTGTTAAAGATTGAACTGTAAGTGAGAAATGCTTTAGGTTAATAAAGCTATAGTAGCCGCAAATTATTTTAAATGTTCATTTCATTTCAGAAGGATAAAAGTCGTAGTACTGCACTATTCAGCAGAAAGCCCTTTAAGTTGTTTAGTCCATAGAATAACGATAGACTTTATAACAACTTGGGGTCAAACTGTTTCCCACAGATTTGTAACACGGGTATTAAAATAGGGTGACATGGTTGAAGATATTGTGTGTATCTTTATGCAACAGCGAATATTAAAATCACTATATTGATTTTTACAATAATCAACTAAACCTGTCTCGTGTGTAAAATGGTCTTAAGACTGAATGATCTTGTGAAAGTTTGGTTCAGGCTCACTTATTTGCACAGCTCAAAATTAGTAAGACTAAAGAACATCTATTACATCATCACATTAGAATTTTGTTAAGAGCCAATAGTAACTTTAGTAGTGAGTTATCTCCTTACTATTAACAGGTATACTACCTTTTTACTACATCAATAGAAGGTCCAAGATATGTCCATGCTCTCTTGCCTGCTGCCTATACTCAGTACCAAGGATTCACTATTCAGTTCTTTTAGCCGGCACCGTATCATGAAAATTTAATGGAGGTTGTCCTGGAGTAATATTGGGATAAGGAGAGGTTCCCTGATAGGCGTGGTGTCACAGCAGCATTCTTTTTTTTTTTTTTTCATTTCTACGTCAGATTTAGGGCAGTGTGACCTGACGTAAGCCACACTGAATTATTTATGAGATCAGGACAAGCAAAACAGCCAGCAACACAAGAAGCTGTACTAGGTTTATAAATTTGTAATGACTTGCCTTTCAGATCTTAATGGAGTTCTCACTTCTGTAGTAAAGAAAGCTTCTTCCATCTGGGTGTGTGTGTGTGTGTGTGTGTGTGTGTGTGGGTAGAGATGTTGGCAACTCGGCACCATGTAGGAGTCACAGGGGAAGTTTATTTTACCATGAACGCAGCCTGAATGTCACCCCTTTGAGGATCAAAGACATAGTTGCTGCTGATGGGACTGTGAACATGCTGCTAATGGGACATTTGAGAAGCTACCTGGTGTGTTTGTGTGCTTGAAATGCTCACTCTGCAGGTTGGATTGTCATAAATTTAACACCTGACCAAAGGGAAGCACGGCAGTGGAGAATCTGTGTTTGAAAGCAAAAGCTAATGTGTTCCTGTATGCTGTTAGAGGTGATTTGGGGCGTCTGCGCGGACCTTGCTCTTTCACTGTCTTTCTTCCCAAGTGAGGATGAAGTAGGAGCGCTCGCTTGCTGGGCTTTCATAGCAAGAGTACAGGGGGGCCTTAAAGAAGGTCGACAAGGAGGAAGAGGAGGAGGAAGAGGGGGAGGATGCATTGGAGAGCTAGCGCTGTTGCCGTGTGAACGGAGCTCTATTGTCCCGGGAACCTTTCAGTGGTTTCCCTGAGGTCCCTGCTCGTACCCCTCCCCCCACCCCATACACTCTTTCTTCCCGCAAATGCAAACACACACACGCTCACACACACACACACACACACAACACACACACACACACACACACACACACACACACACTCTGTCCACCTCTTAATGTTACCCACAACCTTTTCCTCTCTTTCACACACACTGTCTCATTCACTGTCTCTATTCTGTCACTTGTCCCACGTGGTGTCTCTCATGCATGCACCCCTCTCTCTGCGTCTACTTTCCCCTCATTTCTCACTAGCAGATGAGGCCCGCCCTCCCCTCCCCCTCCCCTCCTCCCTCTCCCCTCCTCCTCCTCTTCCTCCTCCTTGCCTCATTATTTCGCCTCATTGATGTGATTGTCACCCCAGCCAGACAGTTAAAGCAAAAACATGCAATCTTCTCATTTGCATCACCGCCTTCCTCCTATCCTCTGGCACCAAAAGCCCTGAGTGTTACATAAATGTTTATCCAGGCTGCTAAATCCAAGACGTTTTGGTGCTTCACAGCAGAACTTATTGAATTGACTGTTTTCAGTATCCTTTGTGGCGACACATGATGGTGTAATTTAACCTTCTTTTTTTTCTTTTATTAGCATGAGACTGGGGTTTGCAGGGTGTCGCTGGAAAAGAAAACAGGGCAATGACACCATGTGTAATACAGTAGTGTCCTACTGAGACTCTGGTAGCACTGCTACATGCTTTGTAAAGACATTACCTCTCTTTTCTGTTTGTTTTCCCATGTGATTATTGTTCATAAAGAATTACAGATAAATATTTTAAGCAACTTAGAAGGCATGTCATTTGTTGTGGTGGTGGGTAAACAAGGATTTAAAAGCTTGTTTATCCTTAAAAAAAAAAAAAAAAGTCTGAGTTGTATTTCTTGTACCTGTCAGCTATTATTAGCCTCCTGTCACACTACCAGAGCTCCTGCGGCCGGCTGCTGGCCTGCTTTTCAAGTGATTTTCATTTGGCATGCATGCACAGTAAAAGAAACTGCAATTAAGAGTGAATCATTGGATCGTTGAATCTGAAACTACTGTGTGAGCAGGTTTCGGTTACTAAAGGGTGCATGCAAGTTTCCATCTGCCTCACTGTCCTCGCTCATGCCTGCTTCTTGGGCCTATCCTGTATTGTTCTCTCCAAGTGTTTTGGACCGGAAAGGAGAGATGAGACAGGGAAGACTGGGAAACGGGGGCTAGGTCGAGAGTGCAAAAACAGGAAGCAGGAAGAAGCTCTGATAAGATGGGTGCCCTGATGCAACCTTGGAGTTTCTCCTGCTTTAAGTAATTGTCTGTGTGGCTTTTGAACTATTTATCAAAGCTAATGAGGGTTTACATTAGCGCATCAAGGTCACAGAGTACTCAGAGTTCAAAACTGTAATGCTTTCAGTATCTTTGCAAGTATCAGGTGTTTGTCTTGTTCTTTCATCCCATTTGACTCCAGTGTACTCCAACATTTTCGGAATATTTTGGTGTTTGTGTGACGGTATCCATGTTTGTCAGGATTCCAGCTGGGCCAGTGACAGACCAGCATGGGATTAGCTGGCATGCTGTATCTTCCTATCTCTAATGCTTTAATCTCTCTGCTGGTCGCCACCAGTCTTCTGGCGTTTGGACGCTGTTCGTCAACACTGTCAGTTTTCTGGCCAGCAGCTAGCCAAGTGCCTGCTCGGTTTATTAAACAACTTGTTGTTTGTAAAGCGGTTCTAGTGAAAGAATAGGAATGCCATTCGATAAAGAACTGTGCTTTTAAGCAACAACAGCAAGGCCTGCACACATTACACCCACTCTCTATTCTGCAGAGACTGTATTTCAAATAGGATTAATAGAGCAGTCAAACAACTTTTAATCTCAACTGTGTGTGTGTGTGTGTGTGTGTGTGTGTGTGTGTCATTCTCTTGGACAAACAATGTGAATAAGATGACTGAACAGCTTGTCACATGATTTTTCAAATTCTGATTTTTTTTACTCCATGAAAAGCTTTAAAGACCGGGAAATGTGACAAAAGTAGAACAGAAAATTATTAGAGGATACCTTAATTTGAGCCTTTCACATATGCTGGGCTCATAGCAGCCTACCTATATGAATTAAAACAGCGTTATAGTTTGATTATTCATTTATAAACACCCCTGCTGTATTATTGATGCAGGTTTCTGCCAGCTCTGAAGTATGTGTCCACAGCCGCTGGGGGTCGGCAGTCTCTTAAACCATGTAACTACTAACCAGCATCTAAAACTGTGTGTGTTTGTTTGCAGTTTGTGTCGGTGTGACCCCTCGCCATGCCGCTGGTGAAGAGGAACATCGAGCCGCGCTACCTCTGCCGAGGGGAGCTCCCAGACGGCATCGGCAGCGAGCTGGAGTGCGTGATGAACAACACGCTCTCCGCTATCATACGTCAGCTCAGCAGCCTGAGTAAGACACACACTCAAAACACAATGTAGCCTTTGCAAGAAGAAGATTATAAGTTGAAAGCCTGAAGTTAAGAAAAACAAAAACACAAGTAAAGCTTTGTCTCGCATGAAAAACACACGGAAACTACAGCATCCTGAGGCCATAACCCCGTGAACTCCAGCATGAAGACTGTCTTCTCTGTTTGTTTAGCCTCTCTGTAGTCGGACAAGCTCACAAGATCACATGCTTTCATCATTAATCCTAAAGCTGTGATTGATTTGGCGTTGTCATGGTTACAGTGCCCGGGGGTCACTGCAGCAGCAGCAGACTTACAGCGGCCTCGCACTGGGAACATGCAGGGTTGATATGTAATCCTTTTAGATAGCTCTGCAGAAATGAACTTATCCGGACAGCTGTTTGCAGATAGACTGTGTGCAGAACTCTTTTATATTGATTGTCAAGCTCACTGTCAATGCATTAGATAGAGTAATTACAGCAGGAAGAGAATTCATCAGCCATTCCCACGTCCCTGTTTTTCAACAGTGTCGTCTTTTGACTGTTCGTTTTTCGCCAGATATTCTCCGATGTAAAAACTTTAGTTCTCTCATTCAAAATCAAACTGTCCTTTTTTGCTGCTCCACTTTCCGGCCCGGTCATATTCATTCTCTGTCAGCGTCTTATTGTGTCAAGTTCCTGTGTTGGGAGTGGGTCTTTCAACAGCAGCTGTGGCTATATATAAAAGCCCACACAAGAACCTCAAGGGGGAAATCTACAGGCTACATACACTGTGCATGTCTGTGTGCACATGCATGCGTGTGTGTGTGCGTGTGTGTGTTAATGGACTGTAAGACTCCTCAGGAGAGGTCAGAGTTTACTCGGCCCAGCATGCCGGATCTGTGTTTCTTCCTTCCTCTAAATATTTTTCCTGCAGCCCATCCTGTCAGCAGGAGGGACACAAATAGGCCATAGCGTGTGTTGCTGAGGGTCAGCCATACCAACTTTTACACACAGTGCTCTATAATTGAGCAACAACATAATGTTGAGAAAACTCTTGCTCAACCTGGTGAATTCTAGACATGGATATTTTTCTTCCAGATTTCTGAAAAAGGGACTGTCCAGTAAAAAAAGCCTTTAAGTCTTACACTCATCAGCCTTAAGTTAAGTTAAGATGTTGATTTGTTGTCTGCTTTTTAAACTGTGATATTTGATTAAAGGCCTAACCACCTGCTCACAACATTTAATAAAAGAATGGCTTTGTAAAGAAATTAAAATTTCCCCGTAAGACATTTCAATTTTGACAGCATCATTTGCTTTTCTTAGACTGGACATCACATCTCAAGTGAGTGATGCTGGCCTGTAGCTTCTCATCTTCTCTCTGACTCTTTGTAAACATCTGAAATGAAGCTTGATTTGGAAATAGAGAGGCGTCTTAGTTTGCCACTCTTCTTCTTGTACACACAGGGTTAGGAGTGTGTGATTTACTGCTCAGTGCTTACTAATACAAGTCACGACTCACCGATGCTTAAATAATGGAGAGTATGAGCCTTGATTTCTGGTATATCAACAACAGAAGATTATGTTGGTGCAGAGCTTTTTTAAATGGTCTATGGCATTGAAATGGCAACTCAGAGATCCAGACTCTGTTACAGGAACAGCCTTTAGTAACTTCAGAGATCAATACAGTGCCTGTAGTAGGATTTCTGTTGTCAGCGCATATTAAAGTAAACTGAGTAATGTTGCTATATGGAGCAGTATTAGATGCCGTTTCCTGCATTGACTCTCAAAACTCTAATTCCCCTTTGTGTCACATTACCGCTGTATTGATCGGCCCTCAGTCTCTGCTGGGATTTATTTGGCTCCAGCAGAAGATAACAGACTCCCTCTTTCTCTCTGGTTTCCGTCTTTCTGCTTTTTTTTCCGCTGTTCCTTTCCAGGTAAACATGCAGAGGACATATTCGGAGAGCTGTTTAACGAGGCCAACACATTTTATCTGCGTGCCAACTCTCTCCAGGATCGCATCGACCGACTGGCCGTCAAGGTCACACAGCTCGACTCCACAGTGGAAGAAGGTGGGTCAGGTGTCTCGATATCTGAGCCGGGGGGGGTAAAAAGTTTATCACTTCCCGACATCACTCAGATTCTTTTCTGCATTTTCCCCCTTATTTATGTCATATCTCATTTTTTGGCCTATCTTTCCTCCTTGTTTTGCCTTTCTATATTCTCAGTTTCCCTTCAAGACATCAACATGAGGAAAGCCTTCAAGAGCTCCACCACTCAGGACCAGCAGGTGGTATCCAAGAGCAGTGTGCCCAATCCCGTCAAAGAGATGTACAACCTGAGTGACAAGCCTCCGCCGCTCAGCATCCTCTCAACTTACAGGTTGGTGCTGCTGATGCTTCCCCTCCCGTCAGGACACTCAGACATCCAGAACGCTCTTAGAGCATAATCAACATTTTGTATGTTTTCTTGTTACTACAAAAGAGCTTTTTTTTTTTTTTTTTAAGTGTCCATAGATAGAAGAATCAGTCTACTTTTAATAATATCACCACCATGAAGCCTAGTCAGCCATTGATGCAGGTATTATTTTGAAAAGTGTAATGTTGCCAAATTAATGCTAAAAACGTTTTAAAATGTGAGTGTGTGTGGAAATGTATAACTAAAATAATGATCATTGTATCCACCTTGACAAATTCTAAAAATGGGTTGACATATTCCCACAAAGAGCTTAATTAGCTTACTTGTATATAACATAGACTGTAAATAATAAGGTATATACCAACATGACACTTCACAAGATCAATGAATGTTGAATTTGAATGTTGTGTTCTTCTCAAAGATTTGATTCTTGCTACTCTCTGACCTACATTCACAGTGAAACAGCACTTTTCCTGCTGCTCGGAGCTCATTGCTTTTTTAAAGTATGCTTTCCAGGTGCATTACATATTTAGCTCGGCTGTCTCCAGAGGGAATCCAAGTCCTAACCGAGACTACACAACACACTTTTTATCTCTCTTGTCTCCACTCTTTCTGTCTCGCTGCCTTTTCACTCTCTCCGCCTGTCATTTCCAGTTCTGCTGTGTCTAATGAAAAATACGCAGTCATAAAACCTGTCTCAATTAACCTCCTCCATAAGTGCAATATTCAAAGTTTCTCATGTTTTATATCCAACTTTTTTTGTCCACATAGATACAACTAGTCAAGGAATACAACAAATGTGATTCTCCCAGAACAAACACAATGCATTGACTCCACTTCACATACATTTCTACAAAGAAGAAGTTCTTTACAACTCTCTTGTTGTGTGTGCCTGTAGGGATGACTGCAAAGATGCTCTTAAGTTCTACACTGATCCCTCATACTTCTTTGACCTGTGGAAGGAGAAGATGCTTCAAGATACAGAGGATAAGAGGAAAGAGAAGAGGAAGCAGAAGGTAAGAATATTTCCCCTTTATCCTTTCTTAACATTTGTAAGTTTCATTATAATGCTTGTTGTTAACAAGAAAGAATAGCCTAAATCCACTTCTTCTCTGTCTGTCACTCAGGAGCAGAGGCGCTGTGTGGATGGCACATTACAGCGGGAGGTGAAGAAGGTCCGAAAGGCGAGGAACCGTCGCCAGGAGTGGAACATGTTGGCTCTGGATAAAGAGCTGAGGCCGGACCATCGACACACCATACACCGAGACAGAGGGGCTTCCTCTGAGGGCTCGATGTCTCCAGAAAACAGGTTGGTCATATCAGGTTCAAGGTTCTTCCTACGTGTTTTCATCATAGACTGTATAAGAAGATAGAGGACATGACAGCTCCCTCAAAATGAAGCTAAAACATTTGGAGCTCCCCCTACTGAATGGATGAAGTATAGATAATAAAACTCTGCCCGCTCCGAGTAAGGAAATGGGACATGAGTCAAACTATAAAGTCAACAAACTCGTCAAAAAAATAGTTTCTCAGACATTTTTGCTCTTAATAGTTTGTGCCTATTGTGCTGATTCATACCCAAATGTTAATTTTTCTGTAAAGTTTAGTTTTCATTTGTCATTTAAAGCCAAGAAAATTTATAAAATGCCGTCATTGACAGCTCAATGAACAAATGTGTTTCCTAGTACTCTTCTACTTCCACTCTAGATTAGCGGGGTAGAGGAGAACCAGTGAGAAGATAGGCAACGAACAGTATCACAAGAGTCATTTAATTTTCTATAAACTCGAGTGTTCACTTCAGACCGACAGGAATCTGTTCTGCTGTGGACAGTACCAACCTGAGGGATCTTCTCTTTTTTTATCTGCAGTTAAATGGCTGTTTTAGGTTTGTTGAAGGGTGAAAGTAAAAAACTTGAGCTCTGGCTCATAATGATGTGACCAGTGCAATGTGTCAGCACCTGCCACATGGAGTATTTTGGCTTCACATTAGAACAACAGGGGGAGGTGGATAGCGTCGTTCAACTAAATACGTAGTCAATAACACAATTAAATGTGCAAAAATTTTTCATCATATTAATTCTATCCTATTTAACCTTTCCATCTTCCTGTGTCTTTGCAGGGGTCACGGTCCTGACCAGCATCACTTCCCCAACTCCATGAACCACGCCGGCCACGCCCACACCTACTCCGGCCCTCCGCCCAGCATCCTGGCAGCCCAGATGGCTGCAGGGCACGGCCCTCGTGGAGGAGGTGAGCATGATAACAGAGGAAGGACGATGATGGCTTATCAAGGCGGAACATTGGGGCGCACTCATCACCACCATCACCAAGTCCCATTGCCTCCTCCACCCTCTGAGGCCATGAACGGTGGTTCCATGTCCCTTCCACCAATGGATTACAGGTAAAAATACATAGAGTCAATGCGTGCTACTTTTTTTAATCCTATACTTTAGTCTGTGTTTCTCTGTGGATCAATTCTATGACACCCTTAGGTATTTATTATGTTCAGTTTAATTTCTAAAACGCTCTTATTCCTGCTCTCTCTCGTTGTTGATTATGTGACTTTATACATACACACATTTTATTTTGTTTAAAGCTTCTGTGAGTTTTAAGTTGGTTATGAAATTCACACTGATGCCTCTATAGAACCTAAAAAGACAAACAAAACCATCAGCAAAACTATTAATTATTTCTACATTGTTATCTTTAAATGCCTATGACAGTGGCCTGGGGTAACTGTCACATGAGCTAATTAACAGCACACTGTAGAAACAGCTTTGGATGACATGATTTCCTTTTACTGTTAGGAGAAAGCAGGAGGAGATTTTTCTTCAGAGTAATACTTCCAGTTGTCCGGGACGAGATCAGTAAGAGCTAGGGATGGGAATGTTTTGTCCACATGGGGGCGCCAAAATCAAACTGAGCGATCCTCACGAGAGCTTTAACTGTTCCATTGCTACAATAACGACTCCATGCATTCTTTGTGCTGTACCTCAGCAAACAAAACCGCTTTTTCTGGAATTTAGATTAACATTATTTTTTAAAGTTTTGCTCCCTGGCATCCAGGAGTCAAGATGTAGGACAGAAGTATGTTTATCTTCTCATTAATTCATAACCATTACAGCCACTTCCTAAAATTAAACAGCAATATTAGGGTAACAATTAAATCCCATGACAATCCAATAATGCAATTTAGCTAATCCAGGTGACACTAGTGCAAAGGAGAAACTAGCTCACAACATATTAGAATCAAGTAACTGCATGATTCAGTGTAATGCAGTTTAATGAGAAGCAGTGTGATGTGCCGTTGACCAAACCAGAGGACTCTACTTTAATCCACTCCTGTCAACCCTGAGCTAATGCTGCCCCCTTGTGGTTCAGTGTCTTTATTCTCGATACCCCTGATAGCATCCATAAGTACAGACTGCTTAATTTGCTAACTCCTCTCTTGTATTTACCATGTCCTCCTTCTTGCAGTATGGATGGTTATGCCAACACTGGTCCTCCTCCCCCTCCCCCGGCCCCTCTCATCCCTTCTGCCCAAACTGCCTTCGCCTCACCCCCTGGAGGACCGATGTCCCCAGGACAGATGACCGGTGTTGGTGGCTACGCTCCACCGCCTCCACCTTTATCTGGGGCCCATGCAGCTCCACCTCCTCCTGGTCCTCCACCTCCTCCCCTTCCAGCTGGTGCCTCCCATTTCATGTCCCACAAGATGTCTTCCGCTGCACCCGCTGAGACCACAGCGGTCAATGATGCCCGCAGTGACCTGCTGGCTGCCATACGAATGGGTAAGAGCTGTTCTGTAAAAATTCTTCACCATCTTTCATTAAAAAAAAACACTGAAAAAAAGAGATGTACTGTGTAAGCAGTGCTGTCTTGACTCTGATGAACATTAAAATCAGCCTTTAAAGTCAATGTGAACAGGTCTTTACAAATGAATTTAAATTAATTACAAACCTTTAACATTCATTGTTAAAACAATTAAACTGTCAGCAATAGCTATAAACAAAAGAAATACAAATAATTGGTCATTAGCGCTGGGCAATTAATCACAATTAAATAGTTTGTGAGAGGAGCATTTAGAATAACCACTTTGCAAAAGTCTGAATTATTGCTATGAATAAAAAATATTGAACGTAACAAGCAACGTTATCTTACACATCATGTGTACATTCGACCTGTATGATGGAGGCCGGAGTTTAATGGTCATTATTTTACACTATTTTGATGCAGTCTGATTAAAGATCAAGCTAGCCATTAGCTACACCAAGATTCATTAGTGCCACTTTAATGGTGAACAAATACTTTGGTGGATTGATTTTGGATTCAGGATGAATGAAAACATGAAGAGGAGCAGATAAGCACAAAAACAGAGTTATAGCTTATATGCTCATATTGTTATAACAATGTTTAATGATGAAATCAAGCTGTAATCATGCTTATTGTTCTCATATCATTCAGGTTAATTGGGGACCATAAAGGTCTCAATATAAAGTAAAGGTCTGACATTAAATGGCTAATAGATCGTGGGCACTTTAATTTAATATATCTGTGACATCTGATGAATGTTTAAGTTTTGACCATGTTTTTGAAATCCAAGATTTTTTTTTTTACTTAACAGAGAGGACTTGTGCAATGCACGATAAATCCCACAAGTGGACCTCCTTACTTTAAATGAATATCTTTCACCTGGTCATACTTTATTTACTCTAAAATGATCCATTTTGAGGTACTTACAATACATTTTTCAGATCTCATGCTTCATACTTACACATACTATCTAGAATGAAGTATGTTCAGCATTTACTTGATGATCATCTTTACCAGAAATGTTTGTATTGTTTAGTCAAGAAATGAATCTGTAATTGAGAAAATATTGCCACTTTGGATTCCTCTACGATATCTGCTGGGGTGGGGCGAAATATTGATTTGGCAAGATATCATGGTACTCTTATCGATTCACTTGTGCTAAATACTGATACTGAGTCACCGCTTCAGGCCTCCTCACGTTTGGGTTTCTTAACTTAAATGAGGGAAACAAGAGCAGAAGTGAAGAAGCTGACAGCAGGATGAACGATGAAGACACTGAGATAATATCAGACAGTTCAGAAGAGAAGTTAAGAGATGAAGTATGATAAGAGGTGCACATGACATCAAACTGCAGAATATAATATTCTTCAGTTAATTAAATATCAGGATGTATCATTACACGGTTGACTTCCACGTATCAATTATTACAGAATGGCTGCATTGTGATATCGATATCATGGGCCTCTTTGTCAGTAAAACGTGATTTTTTCAACCCGTGTTTTCCCTGCAGGCATCCAGCTGAAGAAGTTCAGGAGCAGCAGGAGCAGCAGGCTAAGAGGGAGCCAGTTGGAAACGACGTGGCCACCATCCTGTCGCGACGCATCGCCGTCGAGTACTCAGACTCCGAGGACGACTCGGAGCTGGAGGAGAACGACTGGTCGGATTAAGAAGGAAAAACAAGAGATATCCGCTGACACACAATCAGTCAATCTCACACTCACTTGAAAGAATGCCCACTGTAACACACACACACACACACGGGGTCGCCACCCACTGTTGCTGGAAAAAACACACACACACACACACACACACACACACACACACACACATACACACCACACCTACACACAATCACATGCTGTAGGTTGATATAAGCTGAATGGTCCAAAACTGAAAATCTGGGGGTGTATTCAAGATGCATAAACACTTTAAAGTCACTAATAATCTACTGTAATGCTGCCCACTCAGAAACATGAACATTCAGTTTAATATATATATATATAACATTTAAAGCATTGTGAATACACCCCAGTGGCTGTTTCTCTACCTGTTATAACACTATAGACATCCTGTGAAGGTGCTTACTTCATGTATAGTCCGAGCTTGAGAGTGCTAGTGCTAATAGAAACTTTCCTCTTAAGCTAACCGATGTCCCTGTCTTTTTTTAATGTTTTTACTGGAACACTTCATGAGGAAAGTTTTTAACAAGACAATAACTGTAATATGTACAAGGGGTGAAATGTAAAAAGTCTTACTGATTATAAATATGATAACTGATTGAGCCTTCTGCGCCTGCAATAGGTCTCTGCTGTGTGGGAGGGGGGAGGGGGAGGGGGGGGGGGGGTGATTATGTTTATGCTAGTGTGAGCTGTGTAATCTTTGACCCAGAGAAAAATAAAATGAATGAAGGATCACTGTTAGGCTAACATGACTCTTTACTGCTCCACTGTCGTCATAGAGACGACACATACCTGCCTTCAAGACTCAGTTTCCATAGTGACAGTACAGCTAAGAAGGGAGTTACCAGGGTAACAGAAGAGTGTGAAAAAAAGGGAGGCGGGCGGAGGGGGATGAACAAAGTAGTCAAAGCAGTAGTTTTATGCACAGCACATGTTTGTTTTTAATACAAAATTAACAAGATCTCTCAATTGAGTGAACTAACCAAAGCAATAAAAAGTACAACTCACATTTGGAAAAATAGACACGACGTCCACACAAACGTTTTTTTTTTTTTCCTTTTTAACAATATCTCAGTTCAGTTAGTGCATGTTGATTATCGTTTATACGTTTCATTTTGCAGATACTTAATTTGTTGTGCCGTTTTCATCCAAAAATAAAGTGCATTTCACATTGAAAACTACGCTTACGTCTACACAAGATGCTGTTACTGTGGGGTCCTCCCATCCTCAACCCCCACCACCCCAAAACACTCACTCACACACACACACACACACACACACTCGCTGGCCCTTGAGTGTTTTGATATTTAGCTCTAGATAAGTAACCATCATCACCTCCCAGTTGGCTACACATTTTCTTCATTACTCTGGTTGCTTTGTGCACTCAGTAGATTAACAGGTGTTTGTATACAGACAAGTATAACATCCAACATCACAGTCTTGATACTATTCTTGGATACAAAGCCCTTGTTCACACCTGTTCAACCATGAAAATCTCAACAATACTGCTGGCTGCATGAGAGGGGAAACATTCACCGATCAGAGGAAGTTGTGTACCAATTTTCTTCGATCTGTGTAGCCATCCATTGTCTCTTGACAAACTGGTGCATATCGAAGCGATGAAACCTAACAGAAGAATTTCTACATGGACAGCAGAGGTGGAGAAATGTCATTGAATAAAAAGGTGCGACCCATCTCATCCTCCTAGTTTGACTGGCTTTGGTAGCACCGTGCACGGTGGTATAAAGTCCGTCCTCATCAGCATGCTGTATTTACAGAAACAAAAGGAATGGAGAGGAGGGGGTATCTGTTTGACAATTTGATTAGTACTACATTCAGAAAAAGGCTCGACAGCGCCGTTATATCACACAACATCAGAATCAGAAAGAAATCCAGCCAGACTGAGGTGGAAAAAAATAGAACTTTTCAATGAATATAACAAAATAGACTTTTCTCCAAAGGTAAAGGAATACGAGTTGGTAATGGTTTTTTTTTTTATGTGCCAGGCTGACCTGTTGGTGCTCGTCAAATAACTACAGGGTTCAGTCTGACACTGTGCACAAGTTCACATAGACAGGCTACATCCCAATGCTGAGAAAATGCTTCACTTCTGCTTTCACAACTTATCCCTTTTATAAAACAAAAAAAAAAAGTTCTAAGCTTATTTGAGGCCCATCGAATGCCTCAATCAGGCCAACAGAGGGGTGAAGCAAGAAGGACAGAAGGAGCATTATCTTCACATTTGGGTTGTGGCCCTTTTTTAGCTCATATAATCATTTAGAGGTCACTTAGCAGACACCTTCCTCCACCAGAGGACTAGATTGGATTATAGAATAAAAGTGATGTAGAGGAGACAGAAAACACATGGCAGAACAAGGATTCCAGTTCATTCAGTCCTTTTCACTTTGGCTTGAAGTGCTGGAGCTTCCCCAGTGTCCTAGTCCCATCTCTCTCTCCAAAAAAAAGCTCGACCAAAACGTGTAACGAGGCAACTTCTCACAGAGTTGACAGGAAGACTGGCAGCTTTATCCTCGAAGGTGAAGTGGCAGACAGGATTTTATATTTCTCACAGGCGTGTTTTTATGCCCCAGAACACAAAGAGACAGATTATTGGTCTGCTGAGCTGCTCGATCACGAAAAAAACAAGCTCTCTTTCTCACACACACACACACACACAACACACACACACACACCCAGAGGTCATTGAACTCAAACCCTTTAACAGAAACGCAAATCTCAAATCCTGCAGTGACACTTGCCGTTACAGGACAAGGCACATACTCACAAAAAAAAAAAAAAAAAGGGCAGAGGCAAAAACAGAGGGAAGAAGCTTCACTGTGACGAAATGAGTCCTCCAGCACAGGCGTCATTCTCCTGCAGCCTATTCAAGATGTATTACTGATGCATCATGTGTAGCCTGTTCCTCATGACACGTCGCGCAGCCATTATTGTTCTTTTCTCTGCAGTAGGAAGTTGTGGTGGGACGTGGATGTTATTGCTGTCTGAGTATTGCGGCACATCTACACAATTCCATTCATAGGTGAGTTATTGCTGACATGAACTGAAGGAACAAGGACCCATTCTGGTGGAAGTTTGAGAGCTTATTATGAGCCCGAAAAAACATTACGGATAACATTACTCAGAGCAGCTAAAGGGTGTTTAACTCATATACACTTCAATCGTGATCAAAATGAAGCAGCCAGAAGAGCAGCTTGAACAGACACGGAACAAACATCATTCAATTTCCAATATTCCACATTTCTTTAAAAAGAGTGCAACTCTTATGGACATCTAGTGTTGATTGTAGCTCATTAATTATGATATTATGAGGTTTTACTGGAGTACATTGTACACAAACTAAGCTTTTAGGGTTGTGATGAAGTCAGCGAACCATCATGTGTGACCTCTTAAACTGAACTCAGGAGGGAAAAGGAAGATCTGTGCTTGCTGCATGCAAATTACACCGAAGTCTAGCATGCACATCAGATATTGTGTGGCTGGTGTGAGGCTCCTTAGAAACCATTACATTTGGCAGATTTACATACAAACATCACTTTGATAAATGTGTTAAGTTTGAAGTGATGTGTTTTTTTTGTGATCTCCTCAAACACTTTAATTTCGTGTCAGTCTTTAAAAATAAGATACATTCATTCAAATTCGCGGGGCTTTCTCGACTTACCTATGATTTAGAAAGAAAAAAAAACAGAAAAAAAGAATCTCCAGACATTCAAAAAGTCAAAAAACGATAAGAGGAGCGACACAATTTGGTTACATAATCCGATAGGCTTTATATTCGGTTTGGTGGCTCTGTTAATCATAATAAAAATGAAGGAGGGGGTTAATGGTGGGGTCTCCATCTCCTGGGGGGGGGGCTTTATCTTAAGCCTCCAAGACGTGTGCTCAACTGAAACACATTCGCGCACGGCACAATCCATAAACAAAAAGGAGGCAGGGGAATTTCAAAAGGCAAAGGGGGAGAAGAAGAAGAAGAAGAAGAAGAAAGAAGAAGAAGAAGAAGAAGAAGAAGAAGAAGAAGAAGAAGAAGAAGAAACGTCTTGATTTCTCTCTCGGCTGTAGAGAGGAACGTAGGGCGCAGATCGGAGAGAGCGTTGGGTCTATTTTTAGCTCTCCGCGGCTGTTTAGCTTTCGACGCACGTTCAGAGTGCAGCAGCAGAGCGCCGGGATGGATGATGCTCCAGATGGGCTTTATGTGGAAAAGCCTGCGAATACAGACGCGGCCGCACTCTTCTCTCCTCCGCACACACTGCTTGGTTAATCTGCCGCGCGCTTTTACGCACGCACGCACTCACAGAGGAGCAAACTAATAATCCCCTCTCTGTTTGAGGGGGGTGGGGGGGGGGACTGGCACGTGTCAACCAAAGCTCCCGTGCTGTTAACCAAATGCACATTCTATATTCAGCTGCTGCCTGTAACACGTGACGCACTCAGCGCTCTCTGCAGAACAGAGGAAGGGCGTGGCGCGAGTTGAACAGGAGGGCGGGATGCTGCTCGCGCTCAGGCCGCCTTTTTGCTGGGGAAGACAGTGAGATGCTTTCGCCCTATGGTGACTGAACAAAGGAAAATAATGCCATCCATCAAAGGTGGGCTGTGGATGTCTGACCAAGCTGCCTCTTCCAGAAACATCTCCAGTCAGAACTGAATGCCCCTGACCTTCCTGGCGGCTGCTCGCTTTGACACCGGACACATCCAGTGTGGAGCAGAGCTGACCCAGGGTGCCTTTCGCTTCCCACCTGTGTCTACTCGCTCACACGTCACTAGGGGTCCTTGCGCGGTGGGCCACACTGGCCGGCACACAGCCACAGCAAACCAGCCACAGCGCCTTCTGGATCTCCTGGTTCCTGAAGGCGTAGATGACGGGGTTGATGACAGAGTTATATGTGGCAGGCACCAGGGTGGCATAGGTGTAAAGCGGCGGGTAGGTGTAGTCAGCAATGAGGGAGTAGACAGTGAACGGCATCCAGCAGGCAGCGAAGGTACCCAGGATGATTGCTAAAGTGGACACGCCCTTCCTCGTTGTGACGTAGTGGGGCGTGGCAGCCAGGAAGTGATGCTGAAGGGCGATCTGGTGAGCGTGGCGCATCACGATTTTGCAGATCTGGACGTAGAGTTGCAGCATGAGGCCAAAGAGCAGTAGGAAGGAGACAGACAGCACGGCGATGTTGTTCTTTGTGAGCGGCCGCACCACGCTGCACGTCACCTCCTCCGCCAGGCAGTTGACACCCGTTACCGGCAGCAGGCCCAGACACAGCGACAGGCCCCACAACAGCACCAGCATGGTATAGGTGAAGGCCGCCGTCCGCTCCGAGTTGTAGGTGAGGGCGTAGTACAGAGACAGGTAGCGGTCGATTGTGATGGCCAGCAGGCTGAAGACTGAGGCCGAGAAGGAAGCCACCACCAGGCCCACGGTCAGCAGCTGGGCAGAATCTGAGCGGACCAGGTAGGCACAGGTGAAGTGCAGCACCAGACCCAGGCCAGCCAGCAGGTCAGCCAGAGCCAGGCTGCCAATCAGCAGGAACATGGGGGCTCTGAGCGCCGGGTTCTGCCAGATCACCAGCACCACCAAGGCGTTCTCGCAGGCAATCAGAGTCCCCGACGTGCACAGTACAATGTCCCAGGGGTTAACAAGCAGGGGCAGCTGGCTGGGCATCAGAGGGTCAGGTGGGAATGTCCCCAGGCTGGTGCTGTTGTCCGTTGGTCCCCCACCTCCGCTGGCCCAGGCTGTGGGGTCAGGGTTCAGCCAGCTGGGGGTGACCGGTGGTTCCTCACTCATTGTGTCCCCCGTCTGAAATGAACACAGAAGAAAAAAAACAATCGTCACACAATTGTGGCATACAAGCTTTACATTAAACAAAACAAAAGCATCCAACTACGATAAGAACTGCAGGACCATGAATAAAGCTAAAACACGTGTTTTTATTTGCTAAAATATGGGGTGGATTTCCTGAGGCCCGTAACCCACCTCTGTGCACACCCCTGGATTATAGTATGCATTTAAAACAGCTGCATTCCACAACATAAACACATGTAGCTGAGCTTCACGCAGGCCTGTTAATGCACATTATGCAGGAGCACAGACTCGACAATTATCCTATAGCAGACTATTTCACTCTGAATATCTTCGTTTAAATACATGAATCAATACAGGCTACGGCTAAATAATAGAAAATTTTAACTGTAGACAGATAGCAGGTCATGTTCCCCCCCTTCCCCCCTGAAGCTTTAAAATCAGATTATTTTTAACAGGTTACACCGCACGTGAGGAGCTGCTAATTAATTTATGGACATGAGAAATGAACAAGGATAACCAAAGCAGGCTCTGCAGCAAATTTCAGGCCACATCACAAGGAAGATGTCGATAATCCTCTACCGGCACCGGCAATTAATTCACGCGGAACAGATACCGCACCCGATTTATAAATAAAAAAACCTGTTTCCACCGCCACATACATGCACCTCACACACTGGTGGCCATATGCTGCTGCTGCTGCTGCTTCACCTCTCTGCACCTTGCATCGTAGCAGCTCCACGTCAGCAGAAGGATGCACGAGAAAATGAAGCAGGGTACATTTTTTTTTTTTTTCTTTCCATGCAGGTCAAGGATGCTCAATAATCCTCCTCCTCCCCCTCCTCCTCCTACCGCCGCCCAGCCTACCTTGACTCAATGAGGTGACACTTGGCGTCTAGATGAAGGAACGGCAGCTTTGTATTTCCATGCTATTGATAAGGATGGTGCAGCAGCAGCAGCAGCAGCAGCAGCAGCGCCGGGTAGAACAGACGGGCAACCTGGTAAAGGGAGGATGGGGAGATGCTGGTCCTCTCTTCTGCCTGAAAGCGGACGAAGGAGGAGAAGGAGAAAAGAGCGCGAGGCGGCGCGCCGTAGACTGCGGCTGTGCGGGGAGCAGCGGCGGAAGAGGGGAGGAGGTGTAGGAAAAGGGGGGGGGGGGGGGGAGGGGCTGGTAAAGGAGAAGTCCCAAATGGGCCAGACCTCTATGGGGACCGGTATAAGTCTATAGAATAAGTAAAGGTCTGGTCTAAAAAGAAGACGTGTGTGTTCATGTATCTAGTTTCTCAAACCAGAATGTCCTTCACAGGCTCTCTGTTACAACATGCATCCCTTGACTGATGAGGATTTTCTCATTTCATCTATACACAGCACAGTTAACAGGTGAGCTGGTTGCAGTATTTTTATTTTATTTTTTGTATTTTTATATTTTTCTTTGCCTGACTCGGGTTTCAGGTTTGAAGATGCTGGATGCAGAGACCAAGCTCTCCTCCTGTGACACCCTGCTATTCTGGTTCTGTCTGTGCTATTAACAGCAACCTTGATGTGTGTCACCAACAACCTCCTCCCCTCCCTCCCACTTCTGTCCTCCATCTTCTCTACCTTGCCCCCCCCCCCCCCCCCCCCCCCCCCATCCCCACCCCACCCCCATCCCCATCACTGCAGCTCTGCATACCAGACACCTGAGGCCAGAGGGTGACTTGCTGATGTGATCAGTTAGCTGATGAAGTCTTGTGTTGGTTGATTTTCCTTTTTTTTCTTTTTTTGCATTTGGGTTCTGAATGGATTAAAAATAGCTCCCGTTGCAGTGGGAGAGCAGCACTACCAGGGAACACCTCCAGGGGGCGATGTTGATCTGTATGAGTCATCAGTGCGCACCTGTGGGAGACAGAAAACACACAACACCCAGCCTCATTCTTACTCTCTTTATTTCTTTTTCTTTAAAACAGAAAATGATCGCTTCACAACAGGCCTTTTTAAGCAAACCCTCACGTTAAACTTGCCAACACCTACAAAACGGTATCAAAAGTGCACCATAGTGTTAATACATCTTGTCAAGCTCTAACATTTCCAATGATAATATTATCTTCTTGTTATATTTATACAAATACCATCCTGTACACTGTAGAAATATACAACCCAGTGTGCCCCATCACACCCATCCTCCTTACATCCATTATCAAAACTTGATCAACTTGCGGTTTATCCCAGTGCAGAATAACAGAGCAGGGGTGCAGACACCAGGCCAATATTACAACATATGAATTATTAAATACCCATTCGACCCCACACCCAAGGCAAAAACTTAACAATGCACTCATACAACCGACTGATATCTGTACAACCCTCATTCAACGTCTTTTTTTTTTTTTTTTTTTTAAACAATCCTGACACAGTTTTCATTCATTATCGTCTCATTGTCCAGGTGGCAGCGGCAGCAGCAGCAGCAGCATCCAGCCAGAGAGAGGGGAGATGAGGGGGGGGGCAAAAGGGATATTAAGGGGGTTTTCTTCCAAGGCTGGGCTGAGTGCATAAAGCACACGTATGAACTACAGCTGCGTGGGCTGCTGTGGTGCATTTCTGGTCTGCTGCTCCCCACAAACAAGAGGGAACACAACATTTCTCTCCTGGTTTCTGTGGCGGAACGCTTGGCTCCAGCTTCAGTCTCTTGACTGGTAAAAGAGGATGTAGCCCGACTCAGAGTTCTTGGAGATTTCTGAAGTGAGGCCGTAGAATTCCTCTATGGCCTGCGCATCGATTTTCTACAAGACCAAGAAAAAGGCGACACGGAGAAGAATGAGGACAAAGAAACGTGTTACCGATGAATGCTAGATCAAACGTAGATTACAAACGGTCTCACTTACCTCTACAATATCATCATCAAACAGCAACCAGAAGTCGTGGCTTTTCACAATGGCGATGTAGTGACCCCTGTTTGGACCACTGGAAATAGAGAGAAGATGTTATTAGCCCTACAGAGTCTTGACACCCGGCCTAGTAGACCAACTAGGGTCACGATACCAGAATTTTAAACTTAATCCACCATGAGCAAACAAAACCTGTTTTGATACCATGGCAACAAAAATAAAGCTCTGGGCACCAAAAACTGGTAATTGACTTTTTTTAAGAAGCAACCTGCACGGTATCACTGAGGGGGGAAAAAAAACAATATTTAAGATTACTATTAATATTAATGTAAAATCAATATGAGGATCTTCTTAGAAAAAAACCACATTGGCACCAAATGAATATGCAGCAGAAGTGTGAAATGGTGTCTGTAGAGAGGGTGCTCTCTGCATTTTCTAATTTGCAGTTTCATAGTGCAGCAGTGTGAAACCTTCTTTCACTGTCCGCAAGTCGAGACTAACAGAAACAGCCCCCTGGTGACGTCTCTGTTACCCTCCTCTGCAACAGACACTACACTGATGAAACGTGTCCGTCTGTATGGGACGCTAAAGGGACTCAACAAATCGTCTGTATTTACACACCTTTAGAAAGGAGCAGTTAGGAGAGTTGTGGCTGCGTAACAGCTGCAGGTGTGACGGAGAGCAGAGAGACAAACACAGCAGGCCAGATGAAGCGCAACAGCTGCAACAAAAACCTAAATCCTGCTCCTTCCGGCACCGAGGTGTTTACCTGTTTATACGTTTATAGGAGCGTAACTGCCGTGAAACAGTTTAGAAATGTCTCAGTTTGACCACTTTGTTTTTGTTATTAACACGCACTCTCTACACTACTTCTTCCTATCGCTCTTAGAAGACCTCTCTCTCTCGCTTTAGGCTTTAAATATGACTAGATTGGTTTCTCTTTTTCACATTTTGGTACTTCCTCATACTATCTAACTTTAAAATAGTGGAGTTCATATCATTTAAAGGCACCTGGTATGAGAAAGAATAGAAGCATCACCATTTTTGACCACCTTAGTACACATCTTACAAATGTTTTCCATGATTTTACTGTGTGTTTGTGTGTGTGTGTGTGTGTGTGTGTGTGTGTGTGTGTGTGTGTGTGTGTGTGTGTGTGTGTGTGTGTGTGTGTGTGTGTGTGTGTGTGTGTGTGTGTGTGTGTGTGTGTGTGTGTGTGTGTGTGTGTGTGTGTGTGTGTACGCAAAGATGTTCCTTTAACAATGTATTACTTCATCATTAGAGGTACCAGTAACTGTGGTGTTGGATAATATTGAGCCAACACAGTAAACACAGTTGTTGAGTGAGAAAAGGTCAAGTGTAAAAAAATCCAAATGTAAAACTAAACTGTTATAACTTGTAATGAAATCAACTTTTGTTTTGTATTGCTGGTCCTGGTTAGTTTAGGAGTTTAGCTTTCCCAAGACAATGCAGTGGGCTTCGCTGCTCAGCCGTCTCTGGTGGACTTCCACACTCAAGCAGTGCCTTCATGCGTTTATGGGGAGATGTACATGAATTCAGCTTCTTCTTTTTTTTTTTTTTTTTTTTTAGTTAAATACTTTCAAGAGCCTTTTTTTCCCCTGCTGCTTTCTCCAAAGTTTCCTACTCTAGCTTTAAGCAATATCCTGACATAATTTAATGGAAGTCCCAGACGTTCTATAGCCTGAAAACATGACATCAATTTCATAATAAAACCCCCTGCTCTGAAAATATACTTGGTGCATTGAAGCTGAAATGAGAGAAGAGAAGACTCAGACAGATAATTTACATCTGTAGGACTCCCGACTTACCTGCTAAACTCCCGCTGAGCCTGACCTTTAAATATACTCTCTTTCATAGTTTTCTTCTATGGAGAGTCGTGTCGAGTCTGTTTTAGAATTCCAAGGGAACGCCATGTATAAAAACAGACAGACAAACTCCCACACACTGAGCAGAAGTGCTGAACTGTGATGGACAAGGCTCTGTGTTTTCTCCTGCTGAATGTGATATAAACGTTCACATACCTTTGTTTTGTTTTCATGCCGATAAGTTCAAGTGCATTTTTATTTTTAGAACATTTGTCTGCCTAACTCTGGTTGCTGTGGAGATGGTCATAAAGGTGTTGTGTTCCGTGTTTGCACCTACACACCTCCCACAATGCACAACGACGGCGACCAGGTCGTAGAGCCTCTCGGGATTGGTGGCGTCCCCGGATGTGTTAAAGAGGCGGAGCTCCAGGGGGAAGACAACGCGATAGGACAGCTTGGTGTAGCGCTGCAGCTGCTCCATGTACTTAAAGCGCTTCAGGTGCAAAGCCAAGATCATCGGCAGCTTCTTAACGCGCATCCTACGTCAAAAATAACACAGCGTTAAGCAACATAACTCAATAACCAACCACAGACAGACATGCACACAACAAGGAGAAACCAGTACACTAACCTTTTGTGAGCCTCCTGCTTGCTTCTACATTCTTCACAGTAGTATTTGTACTCACTGCACAGCGTCTCCGTGTTACTGAAACCTCTGAGAGGAGCCACAAACACAAAACTAGTCAGTACGCAGTCTGAATTACACATATACAGACGAATGGTTCGATAACAAAACACTGCATTCTCCTCATGTCTGTGAAGGACACGGCAATGACTGTGTTTTTCACCCTTCTGAAAAAGTGACGCAAAAACGTTTTTTTTTTCTAACCCCGTCAGCATCAAACGAACATCCCGGCAGGCTCTTTGTTCACCTTGATTTAAAACAGATCGTTTTAGAAAGATAAAGCAGCTAATGTATGTTGTATGAAAGTAACCTGATCAAAATAAGTAAAGACTTCAACACTATTCAACAATGACTCCGTCATGAAATATAATTTAAACTGCATTTCTACCCAAAGTGAATAAGAAGATTATCTACTCCAACAGTTGATTAATCGACCAACAGCCTCACACCAACAGAATATCAGTTTACTAAAACAAAAGAAAAGAAAGGCAGGAAATCCACCAAGCTAGAAGCATCGAAAGTATTACATTTTCACATTGGGACTATTTTCTTCTTAAACTGAAAGTGAATTTCACGTCATCTAACTACTCATCCTGTCAACTCAACACCTGAAGCACTTCTGCGTCTCTTTGCAGTGAACTCACCTGAGGCAGTGTGTGATGGAGGTATTCTGTTCTACATCCACAGAAAGGTCCAGAAAGTCCTCATCTTTGCTGCTTATCTGGAGAGACAAGAGGACATCAAAATAAGCTGAAAGCAACATAAATCTAAATGTAACCAAAAAAAAACATGTGTCATATCAGCATACAGCATCGTCAGGCCCCTTTGAGTCTTCTTACCGTTTCACAGGTGAGGCAGCGCGTCTCATTGGTCAGAGTGCCTTGGAAGATCTCATGGACCCAGGTTGGGGCAGGCGTTGCATTGCTGTTGTTGTTTTGGGAGTCCAATGTGCCGTTGGCAAGGCGGCCATTGGTCTTATCCTGCTTCCTCTCCTCCTGGAGCAGATCAGCGATTGTGTTTAGCAGGTAGTTCAGGAACTCGTGGGCATCCTGCTGCATGTAGTTGTCAAACAGCTCTGAGGAACAAAGAACAGAGGGAGAAGGAGATAAGAGTTACTATACAGCTATTTCATATGTTAAACAGCTACTTCAGGGTCTTCTGGACATGCCAATTTCAACAAGATTTTGAGGAGTCAGCAGCCAACAAGTGGCGACAAGAAGATCGAGAACTATTACAGCAGTTGTTTAAGTGATGATTGACCGCTCACCATTCTCCTTTCGGAGCCGTGTGATGAACTTCTTGGGCGGTATGACGCCCACTTTCCTCTTCTGATTGGCAATACTGTGGAACAGGTCGGCCAGACAGGTGAGCAGGTTCTCCTTCCTCCGAGGCTGACTGCGGTACGCCAAGATCTTCTCCCGAAACGGCCGGCAGAAGTACAGAGCCTGCAGCACCGAGTTGCAGTAGCAGGTGTTCCCAAACTAAAAACAAACGGAGCGCAATGAAGAATTACAGCGAGCGTGAGTCAGGTGAAGACGAAAACAGACAAACCGCACAGTGAGTGTATCATTTACTCACATTGACCAGGCCAAAGTAGTGTTCATTGACCGGAAACTGCTCAGATCCAATCTCTTTCTCCAGAGCAGAGGCATTGGCGCCCTGTGAACACACGCAAATACCAATTTGTCGGGCTCAGCTTAATTCTGTACATGACACAACACAATAAATCAGTAGTGGCCTGCCACAGCTGAGAGCAACAGCTCTGCTATTACAAGGTTGGAGAAAACAAAGAAGACTAATAACTGAGAACCCCCATCGCTGCCCTTTAACGGAATTGAAACTAAAAGCATGAATCACTTTTAAAGATCTGTGCATTACTTACACTGACAACTGGTCCTGCGGATAACAAAACAATTGTCAGGGTAGATCATACCAAAGCACAGAGGTGTTTTGAAGTTAAGAGCAGGGTTTTAAAAGTGCAAGCACAACCCTCTGGTATTATGGCTTTTAAGGCTAATAAGAGTACGATGCATTATGTATCCACAAAGTGTGCAAGAGTGGACATGCAGCACAACTGCGCAGCTTATGTTAAACAATGTCGTCATTGCCAGCTTTTTTTTTTTTTTTTTTTTTTTTTAAAGATCCGGTCGTTTGTCAAAAAAAAAAAAATAAAGACTAGCATCCTCAAATTAACATTATTCACGTTTTTCCTGCTTCATTCTGTAGATACAAGCAGCAGTCTGAAGTTATCCATTTCCAGCTGTGTCCCGGTTGTTTTTGCACTCTGCAGCACTGGTGTAGCCACGGTTACCTTTACGGTGGCTAGTTAGCCGACACTCGTAGCAGCTTGCAGGTGCACTGTCACTGCGGTGCAATTAACTGTGGTAAATATTAACGCAATAAAATGGTTACTTAAATTGTTGATTAAAAGTATTTAGTAAAGAGTGTGCATCTAATGTTGTTAGCCGAGCGAGCAGAGCGGAAAAGGTAAGTGGGTGGCTGCTCGGCTAGCACTAAGATTTAACTGCTTGTGTTTATAATCCCGCGGTTTATAAGACAATATAATAAAACCCCGTGTTTTCTCTATAACGCCGTAGCTTTAATAATGAGCAGAATGAGCCTTCCGTGCACTCACCATGGTACAAAAAGAGGCAAATTTGGAGACTGTCATTAGGATTTCCATTCGGCTAGCGCCATCTTCCACCACACAGCCGAGACAAGACTGGGCTGGCTCCCCTCGTGAGAGCAAGGTAGGCGAGTCTGCCGAGCTCCGCGGGGTTGCCAGATCTCGCGAGAGAAACAAGCAACCAAGCTCTATGGAAACAAGCGGATAATATTTAGAGTCTATGAAGCGGACTGGCAACACTGCCGAGTTCACGTCAGACACACAGGCAGACAGTCCACCAGCTGAAGACGACGAGAGCGTTCACTACTAGTTTCTTCCGTTTCGTTAATATGACCTCCTTGTGCAGGTCTAAAACTGTCGACTCATACTCATGATACGCCGAATCCTTTTAAAGACAGTATGACCTCCGTAACCAAATAAAGAAACATCAAACTTTGCGAGAGATCTGTTTATGAAATACTGTTTCGTTTTGCGCATGCGTGTGTCACCTCTCAGGGCTGTTAATGATATTTGCGCAACAGAATGAAGCCTAAAAGTATGGAAGCCCATTTCCGCCAGTAAAAAAAATAAATAAAATGAAAATAAAGTCTCATAATTTCTTATTATTTTGACTTATCTCATTATTATGACTTTATATCTCATAATTTCGACTTTCAATCTCATAATTTCGATTTTTAATATCATAATTTTGACTTTTTATCTCATAATTTCGATTTTTAATCTCATAATTTTGACTTTTTATCTCATTATTATGACTTCTATCTCTCATAATTTCAATAAAATTATAAAAGTGTTTTTTTTTCCGAGAGAAAAAAAGTAGTCAGTTGTTAAAAATTACTATAATTTTTTTCGGCTTTAAAAAAAGTTGAAAAAAAAAAAAATACTATAATTTTGTCTTCTTTTTCAAACCCATATATTTATTTTTAATTTTCCTTTCACTTATTAATCACAAAGGATCAGGTACCACTGTTCTTCTAATTTCTAATTATTATGACTTCTATCTCTCATAATTTCGATAAAATTATAAAAGTGGTTTTTTCGAGAAAAAAAAAGTTGTTAAAAATTACTATAATTTTTTTTGATTTCGGCTTTAAAAAAGTTGAAAAAAAAAATTACTATAATTTTGTCTTCTTTTTCAAACCCATATATTTATTTTTTTGTTTTCCTTACACTTATTAATCACAAAGGATCGGGTACTAGTGTTCTTATTTCGTGCAGGCAATATCGAGACCTGCCTCGATTGTATTTCACAAGGCGGAGTTTGGGGCCCTCTGCTCTCTCTTTCCGCCGTACCCGCCATCTTGTTGAGACCGGGGGTAAGATCTTCTCTCTGTTCAAAGTGAATATTTGTCTTTAATATCGAATCGGCCTTACAAATAAGTGTGCATGTACGCAACGCTGACTTTCCCCTTCCTTCTAGCGGATCAATCCCGTTTTAAAACGCGTCGTACGTGTTTGATTTAGTGTTTGAATGTGATCCGGAGCAGCAGCGTGGCTCTCCATGCGGGCCTTCAATGTAGCGACACCACTGGAAGAAACTGTGTTTTACTTAAACACCGTGTTTCTCCTGCTGTAAAACAAATCATATTCCCATGGATGTTTGTCACAGATATTCGGTCGTGTATCTTAAAAATGACTTTCAGTATTCTTAATAACATTGTTTCACACCGCAGTGAGACTTCTTCTGTATGATCACAACGAATATGTTTAGTCAAATTAACACATGTGGGATTTTTTTTTTTTACCTGTGTTTTTGTTTAGTTGTCATTTATTTGGATCCGCTTTTAACGTAAATGCATTTCATAGCTGCCAGGTGTGGACCCTCTATTGAGATTAATGTCGTGTTGCTGATCAGTGTTGCCAGATATCGCGAGATTAACAAGCAAACCAGCTCTGTGGAAACAAACCCAAAACAAGCCTGGCTCCTCATACAAATTAAATGAAGCCCAACAGGTGACTTAACCTACCACATAGGTAAAAGAGAGGCCACTTAATTGCTATATATATATATATATATATATGGGTGGGTGGTTGCCAGCATCATCAGCATGATGTATTAAGGTCAGATCTCTTTCTCCCACTCTTTATTATATATATTTTTTTTTTTTACATATTTTGCACAGGGTAAACAGGTTTGTGGACGGATCCTGGAAAAGGACAAACTATCGAGATCGTTTTTCGCTTTATTGTGGAGAGCTGGGAGAGAATCGGTAGAGGTTCATACAGGGAGCAAAAAAAGCCCAAAAACCTGCGACTGACGATATTCGCAAGCGACTTTACAGAAAAACAAGCCCAAAGTCGCTTATAACAACACTGTTGCTGATGTAGAGGTTACTTGTCCTTACGCCTCAAATCAACAAAGCTCACTGAAATGTGTTTTCTTTTAGTAATCAGGCATCATGACGAACACCAGAGGCAAGAGGAGGGGGACGAGGTACATGTTCAGCAGGCAGTTCCGCAAACATGGTGAGTGCAAATTTTAAGGGCGGTTTTTAATTAGAGAGCCCACGTTACAAGTGCATGCAAATAATCTCTGTTGTTGTATGTAGGAAGTTTTATTTTGTGTAGACTTGGCCGTCGGAGCTTTGCAAAATAACATGAACTCTGTTTGCAGGTCCGATTCCCCTGTCCACATACATGCGCATCTACAAGAAGGGAGACATTGTTGATATCAAGGTACGACGCAGCCTGTGTGTGGGCATGTTTTCTTTGTTTGGATGGATAGTCAGACTTCTGCATTTAAGTGTTATAATGGTGACGTCAGCGAGAGGAAAACATGTACACAGAATTACATGACAATAGTTCTTTTGATTATTTTTTTTCATTAGGTTACACAAAATATGGTATTTTAATACTTAGTAATCTTTTGAAAATGTGTGAAACATCATCTTAAATCTAACGGGAATAAAATGATTTTCTGAATGTGTCTAAAAGAATGAACTGTACCTTTAATCTTTTGACACATGATGGCAAATTCACTGACTTTGACAGTGATTAATTCAGAAGACATTATAGTTTGAAGGAGTCTATTCAGTGTTGTAACAATTGAAGACGGCTTTTGTTCCATGCTGTACCAAATAGATCCCGACCAATTAATCGGCCAGCCGACATTAGCGTATAATGTGACTGAAGAGCAAATATTATAAGATTTATTTACAACTCAAATAGCATTTTATTTGAGTATTGTTGAATTACACTAGCGGTTCTCTTTTTGACTATACAAGCATTATCACTCTTCAGAGTGTTGAGTGACCATCTTGTCTTTCTTGTATATCTTGTGTTTGATAACAGCATTTGAGGTATCGACTTAATAAATGTGCACATCCATATCTTTCTCTGCAGATTGAACATAGATTTAAGAAAAAATATTGACTGATATATTGTATTGAATTTTTTCCTCTCCCCAATATCGATCCCAAAAATCTCACATCCGTCAGCCTTATTAATAATAAGGGGTCCGCAGGTCTGACTTTGTTTTTTATACATAGAATACATAGACTCACTGTCACATGTGTTTTCTCTCTTTTAGGGCACAGGTACCATTCAGAAAGGAATGCCTCACAAGTGTTACCATGGCAAGACTGGACGTGTCTACAATGTAACCCAGCATGCTGTCGGCATTATTGTCAACAAGCAGGTCAAGTAAGTGGGATACAGCATTTAATGAGACATATTAGGGATTATTTTCAACTGGCAATATCCTCAAAACTCCTGAAGACCATCAAGATAGATGTAATCACCTATTTATCATATTGAAGTGTACACAGGATGGTTTAATTTATAAATCTGATGTAAGCATTGATAAGATGTCTTCATTATATAGCTGATGGGGATTGTTCCCGGACTTTGATGTTATTTATTTAATTATTTTTACAATCATTTGCACTGTTGGAATATTTATCTTATTTATCTATATATAGTTATCTTGGTGTTGGTCTTTTAGTATGTGCTTTTTTTGTTTCCCTCACCCCATCTTCACTTTGCCACCAGGGCTGTTAATGTGCTGAGTGGTCATTCACATGGGGGAAAGTATTCCATCCTTAAGAACCCCAGTCTAACTCGTGTTTGACCTGGGGTTGTATTGAGGAGACAGCAGCTCGAGTGCCGATCATTAGCATTACGCTCCCTCCTTTCTTTTTTTTGAGCAGAAGCTTTGTGGCTGTTTCTTTGTTGAACTCATCGACTCTTTCCGCTTCTCACAGGGGTAAGATTCTGGCCAAGAGGATCAACGTGCGTATTGAGCATGTGAAGCACTCAAAGAGCAGGGACAGTTTCCTGCAGCGTGTCAAGGCGAACGAGGCCAAGAAGATGGAGGCCAAGCAGAAAGGTAGCTGGATTGAGCTGAAACGCCAGGTAAGAAATACGTAACCCTGAATTTCCTTTTTTTGTGGGTAGCTCTGTTTTTTGTTTTGTTATTTAAATAAGAAGTTGTGGAGATGTCCTGGAAAGTACAACTCAATATGTTTTTAATTTTGAGCCCAGTTTTCTTTGAGGTTTATGTGATCTTAAAGTTGCCCGTTTTTTTTTGTCTCCATAGCCGGCTCCTCCACGCGACGCTCACTTCGTCAGCACCAAGAAAAACGAGCCTCAGCTGCTGGAGCCCATCCCCTACGAGTTCATGGCATAGAGAGCGCTCAAATAAACGATATTTGTACACACCCTACTTGTCACGTTGTCCTCTGTTCACCCTTATGAATGTAGCTTGGTCGATGATGTGCTGTCACTCAGTGATGATTCTCCTCCTTTGATCAAATCGAAATGAAATCAAATGCACTTTTTATTTCACCGGCGATCTGAGAGTGACCCCAGCACAAGTCACAAGCACATCTGATCCTAAACTCTTCCCATGTCAGGTCTATAGTATTAATTCCATTTGCAAATTGATTTGTTACCAGTTGACAAGCTGTGATTAAAGGCTCTATATCCACGCTTTTGCATGACTAGAAAAATAACCTTTAATGTCATTCATCTGAATCAGATACATGGTTCTGGTTTTGTGCATACAGTCTCATTAAAGCAGCTTACTGAGACTCGCACACTGCCTTCATAAAACTTTGTCGTATCCTGAGGCGATTTAAAAGTGTCAGGTAGGAAAATATCCGTCTAAATCCTGTTTAAAGTGACGTATCTGGGCTGATTTGACTGATCCGGTAGGTGTTTAGTTCCTCTTTAATTGATCTGATTTTATGTAAACCAACTTAGTGTCAGATACATTCAGTCTCTTAATAGCTTTGCGTATGTAAAAGGCCTCAAACAATCTTCGTACCTTTTAAAGGACAGCTTGCATTGTTGTCATTCAAGATTAATACCGATTCTAATGACTTGAAAACATAATATATAAGCTCATTCAAACGACTCATTTAAAACAGTACATAATGCTTTATCATTGATCCTTTATGCAGTGTAGAACAGGTTTGGTTGGGTTTTAACTTTAAGAGGGAAACATGCCTCATGATTTCTTCCAACCCCAGAAATGTAATTTAATTCCACCTGAATATGTTTAATATGACAAACCTGCTGAGTTTCATGGAAGTTGGTCTCTGGTGATGCTTTAAAAAACTTTGAAGTTAAAAGACTGAAACATCTCTCAACATGAAGTTGATTTAGAAAAAGTATTTGTTATCGGTGTTAGAACTTAGAACTAATAAGAGAAATTAAACCATGAAACAGAGATTGATACAAATGAAAGATGAACAATAAGATGTTCAGTGAAATTTGTCCAAATGATGATTTTCCCACTGCTGTACTGTAGGTGGCAGTGTGCACCAGGAAACCTCAAGTCTAATCCAAACATCACAGCTCCCAGCTTTATAGCAGCAGACCTACAAAACTGAAATCACAAGATAGTTATCAGGGTCAGTGAGTCTAAATGTTGAACTTTTTCAAAGATTTCACTTGACATGTACATGAACCGGTCCCTTAAATATACATGTAATTTAACCACTAGAAAAACAAGTTGAGTGGATACCATAAACAAGTGCACAGAAAAATTGATCATGTTGGTTAAAAGCTGTATGGCTAGATCTACTAATGCCTGACACGTCTGTTTTTAAAGCTCCTGTGAGTTTTTATCGTTCATAAAACCAACCGTAATTAATATACTGATGCTTCTCAATGACCCACAAAGTAAAATAGACCATGCGTGAGAGGATCATTTCTACATATTAGATTTGAACGTCTTTAAATGTTGCTGTTGGGTACTAACAAAGTAATCACAGTGAGTGATACGATGACATGTTTACAGGACATCCTGATCACCGAAGACACAAGAGGTACCTAATTGTCCTAACGGGGCGACACAAGGATTTACACAAAACCAAAAGTTGCCCTTTGGAGCTTTATTTTTTATTCAACAGTGCAGTAACATTCTCTTCATGTCATAAGCTGTTATGAACCCTTTAAATCAGTTTGAGAACATCTGTCCGCTTTTTTTTTATGATGGATTGGATCTGTAAAATATTTGATAGGTTGCACTGTGTGTGTGTGTGTGTGTGGGTCACTTGTTTGCTGCTTAATCAGTGGAGGCTGAATGGCTGGCTGGTTATGTGACAAATAGGTTATCTCATCCCACCTCAGTACTTTACCTAATATTTACACAAATTAGCGGCAGTTTACAGAGATAGGTCCACTAGCCAGAAAGGTGTGTGTGTGTGTGTGTGAGAGAGAGAGAGAGAGAGATCAGGGGGAGGAGGCCAACAGTGAAACATTTCCTGGATTTATTTCACGAATTGTCTTGAAATAGAAATAAATCTCTCGCATAGTAAGAGCCTGCAGACATTCAAAAGGAAGAATGTCTACACTGTGTTGTAATCCTCTTTGTGCACAACGGGGAGATAACCTACAGAGGTTGTCTTTCTTCACCCTCATAACCCTGCAGGCCTGAGGTCAGGGAATTTAGACCCACGTGTTATCAGTACCGAGCAATAAGTATCCATCAACCTGAGGAGATAAAACCAGGAGAAAAAAAAACAAATAAAAAAAATAAAATGCAGTCAAACGATGAGCGTACTGGCAGCCGAAACTCTTGGTATTGATCGGAAAGACTTTGAATTTAGCTTGTAATATTTAGATAAGGTCAAAGAGTTCTGTGCATTCCCACAGCTCAAAGCTTTAGCATAGAAAATGTATAAATGGAGTGAATAAAGGTTCTACTTAAACAAACAGAAGCCCTAAGCAGCCATACATATTTATTAATGTTCCAGTGATGACTAGAAATCTCCAGTTGTTCTCTCAAGACCTCTACTTGTTATTTGTACCTTGGGATAATAAAGCTGGTTTCCCCATTATAACAGATGAATTTATCTCAGGATAGCAAAGCTCTCTTGATCACCTGATAATTTTCTGGCAATCCAGAAAATGAAACAATAGGTCACTCTAATAGGGCATGCTGCCATTGTCCACATTAATGAAGTGAGTTAAATCTATGTCTATGTTTGTTTTGGGCTTTTGAAAATCTAATAAGTCAAGATGTTGAGAAACAAACTGAAAGTACTTGACATCTAAACACAGCTAATTGAATGTATACGTGTCTGTTTCTGTTCATTTTTAATACCATTCCTCGCTGTAACATAATAAGACACATCTGACCTTTATTTTATACTGTAAGTGCTTTGTGTGTGTGTTCTCATATAGAGCCTCATGTGTGGCACTGACTCATGGGAGTTACTGATTGAAGGAACATAAAGTAAACAGAGAGGGAAAGAAAGAGAGAGAGAGGGAGAGAGAGGGAGGAGGGCAAGAAGATGAGACTTGTGGGTAAAAGCAGTGGAACACTATGAACTCCTTAATCACACATTTGACACACACAGATTGAGTCTGTCAACTCAGACTTCAGCTGTATCGACCCAGGGTGTTACATATTAACCACACACACACACACACACACACACACAAACAACAGATTGTTGGACATGGAGACGGGCTTGCATGGTGCAACAGGAGTTGTGTGTTGAAATAATGCACTATATAAAATGTCCTGATTCTCCATTAATCACACTTCAAGGGCAAGGTCACTCAAATTACAAAACTACGTTTTCCTCACACTTTTGTATTAGTGCACAAAAATATATATTTGGACATTTTTTTGTGCTCAGGATTTTAAATATATTTTCCTGAAATTTTTTCCAACAATGTAGATGGACATGATTTTATTTTACAAGCCCTCAAATTACTGTAAATATTCCCACCTCTCAATTACTTGTGACAAACCTGAAGTGACAGAGTCATCGGTAAGTGGAGTTTTTTTTTTTTTTCTGAAAATAAATTATTTCTAACATTTTTATTCCCAAAATATGCTTAAATCTCAAAAGTAAAAGTTCAACAAATTGATCAATCATCATTGGTAAAAAGGACTAGGTGTCATGATATTTAAAATATTTTACATAAACATATTGTCATGCCCCTTGAGGTGAATCTGTGATTTTAATATTTGATTAGGCGTATGTAAATAAAATTAATTTGACATGACTTAACTTCATATAAATGTCCCTTTTTTTTATATTGCCTGAAGGTTGAACAAAAGCTCAAGGAAATCCCAGTGCCAGCCAAACAAAGCCAAATTTGCTGTAGGCCTATCTGTGTGTTAGGCGGGGTGATGGAGTCAGTGTGGTTATCAGAGGCAGGGGATGGTATGGTCATATATGTGAATATTGGGCCAGCTGTATTGATCCTGGCCCTGACAGCAGAGGTGGAGGAGGTGGAGGGACCGGATAAGAAGAGGCTGATAACCGTGTCAACTGACCCAGGCATGCTCACCTGAAGCGTGGGAGGGCACTGAGGTAACGCCCAACAGGCTCTCAATAGGCCTTATTCACAAAAGTAAGTCAAAGGTTTCACATGAGAGCAGAGGGTGCAATGTTTACACAAGCAGATTGTGTTATTGGATGGTCAGTGTTTTTTTTTTTTGCTCAGCCCCCAAATGTCTTTCTTATTTGGATGTACCCTTTTTAAGAAAATAAATCTCCACACAGGGAGGAGGCCTACACCTAGGTTCAATGTTCTGATGATCCTAACTTAATGATGTTTTTTTTGCGGTTTGGATCCACAGTAATGAACCCTTTATAAATGTCTGTGTTATAGTTTCATTGACTGGTTCTCCAGAAATGTAAACCATGAGCTGAAAGTGTTTTACAAGTGCATTATAGTTGAATTGCATCCTGTGCATGTCCACCCTCTGGAAAAGCCAGAACACTCTATAATGGCAGAAGGCCAGATCATTCTCGCTGTACACAGGAAACCAAGAACCCCCTATCTGTGAGGTGGCAGTGCTGACCACCACACTACCATGCTTCTTTGGGGTGCTTGGTTGTAAGCAATGTATCTTATGTACGTCTATATTATATCTTATATTATTATTGTCTAATTATATTGTTAGTATTCTGTGTGAAAACGTGTATGTGTGAGTTTTGTTTTTGTTTTGCTTTTTATTCTGTATTGCTCTCTTGCTTCATGTACAGCACTTTGGTCTGCTGTTGTTGTTTTTTTTTAATGTGCTTTATAAATAAATGTGATTGATTGATGTATTATTTCCAGTACATTACTGCGGTTAAAAATCATGCACCACCCTTATGTGGGAGAAAGCCAGAACAGTCCAGCTACAGGGAGGGCTCGACCGAGGTTCCATCCATCTATCCATCAACCTTCAGGTTGTAAGGCAGCAG